GCAGTGAGGACATCAGACCTGGGAGCCCTCTGAATATGTCTTCCATCTACCCCACATTAAAAGTCCCCTGGGGAAGGCACTGAGGGCAGCCCCAGGTAGGCAGGATTTGGGGATCCGTTCACAGGCCCCACTCCTGTAGGAGAAAGGGAACCAGCAGGGGTGGGGGAGGAGTAGAAGGAAGTGGAAGAAACAGACCACTCCTCCCCAGGGCGGTGTCCTCAGGCCACAGGTCAGCCTGAGCTACGAGAACAGAAGAGCACTGGTTGAATTTGAGACTGAAGTTTTCATCTGGGCCAGACTGGCCTGGACTTTTTAATGCCCCCCAAAATGACCAGAAATCATTGAGATCTGTCCAAGGTATCATCATGGACAGGGAAAGGAGATTCATCAGAGCACATTTAAAGGAAAAAAATGAAAAAAACAAAACAAAACAAAAAAAACACCAAATGGTTTTAAGTTGGTACCTCACTGAGTTCAGACTGTTCAGAACACTGGTTACACAGCTGTCTTGAGACCCCTAGGGGAGATCTGCCTGAGAAGGGAGTATGCCCAGAGAAATTGGAGCTGAGAGATGGGGAGAGAGAACAACCTGGACAGGGCTTGAGCCCCTGAATCAAGCCATACCTGAAGGCAGCTCTGCCCTCTGGACTTTTCCGTTATAGAGGTCAGTGAGCTCCCTGAGACAATCCGGGCTGAAATTTCTATCACTGTCCACAGTAAGTGTCTGAACTGATGCCATGCACATATCTGCTCTTTCTTGGAGGAAGGGATGTAGCTCTCATCAGATTCCCATGGTGCATTGCTATGAAAGAAATTGCTCGGGGAGAAGAAACTCTAGAGCTCAAATTAAGCCATCTCATTGACAAATACAAGGGAAGGCCATCTAATGAGGCACGGGGATGCTCTACAGGGATGTCACAGAAGAGCTAGACCAGAACACCTTCGTGCGTAGGGCTGGAGCCCCAGAGTCTGGCATTAACTGGCACTCAAGAAATATTTGTTGAATGGAAACCAGCAGGAAAATTATAACAAGTCATACTTTACATGCAAATTTTCAGGAATATTTTCAGGAAAATATCTAATGTGTGAACATCTAATCTGCATTTCCATGTCCTGACAGATGGCCCATATTAACAGAGCTCTGATTATAGTAAAAAAAAAAAAAAAAAAAAAAAAAAAAAAAAATTAAAAAAATAAAAGAAGGAAAGAAAGAAAAGAAAAAAAAAAACCTACCAATATTCATTGAGTGGGTGCCATGTGCAAAGCTATGCAAAGCAACATTATTGTGACTACCAAATGTATGTTTTGAAAAAGACAGCTGTAGATATTCCCATTTTTCAGGGACTCCCCTCCAACAACCAGCTATTACATACAGGAAGAAAATCACATTGGGGCTTGCATGGCTTAGGAGGGCTTTGAACCCTGCTTTTTTTCTTGGAAGAGGGATCTGAGCCGTCGAGAATCTGAGGCTGTCTTCTCAAAGTGGAACCAGGGACCACCTGGATCAGAATCACTGGAAACATTTACTTAAAACGTGGGTTCCTCAGGAGGCGGAGGTTGCTGTGAGCCAGGATTGCACCACTGCACTCCAGCCTGGACAAGAGAGTGAGACTCCATCTCAAAAAAATAAAAATAAAATGCGGGTTCCTGGGCCCCAGCCCGGACTTATGGAATTGGAACCCCTGAGGTCAGGACCCTGGAATGTCCATTCTAAGCAGTCTTCCCTTATGGTTTTATGCACACTAAACCCAAAAATTTGACCTGCTGTAATCTGTTTATTTGACCAAGGGGTCTCAGTGCCTTTGCAACATTCTGTACAGCCCCATAATAACATGTGGTTCTTTTTTTTTTTTTTTTTTTGAGACGGAGTTTCTTTCTTATTGCCCAGGCTGGAGTGCAATGGCACAGTCTTCACTCACTGCAACCTCTGCCACCCTGGTTCAAGTGATTCTCCTGCCTCAGCCTCCTGAGTAGCTGGGATTACAGGCATGTGCTACCACGCCCAGCTAATTTTGTATTTTTAGTAGAGATGGGGTTTTACTGTGTTGGCCAGGCTGGTCTCGAATTCCTGACCTCAGGTGATCCACCCACCTTGGCCTCCCAAAGTGCTGAGATTATAGCCTCGAGCCACTGCGCCTGGCCTAACATGTGGTCCTCTGGGAGGAGAAGCCCTGCTCCTAGGCTGGGGGCATTGAAGGAGGCCAGGGTGTGGTGAGACAACACCCTCCTTGAGGTCATGGCCAGTGAAGGCTGTGCCAGAGGTAAAGGGTGCATGTGTGAGGGCTTTTGAATGGAAACACTTGCTGTGTCCTCCTGGCACATTGACATAACTGGATGTGACTATGGTTATAGCTGGTGGGACAGAGTCCTGTGGTCCCGTGGCTCTCTAAATGACACCACACATTCTAGACCTGATTATCTGCTGCCTTCTACTGCCCTGCAGGCCTGTGTTTGGAAGGAAGGTATTGTTTCATAGACATAACATTGCTTCTCAATTGGTGATTGAATTCCTGCAAGATGAGCATCTGACTTCTGTCTCTTAGAGCTTCTGGCCCCTCTCCTAGCCTCTGCCACGTCTACTACACTGCTGGACACTCATTAGATGCTTCGAAGCCCTTAACTTGAAGTGCTTTCTGGTTTACTGAGACCAGAGTGTTGAGCTTCCCTCCAATGCTTTCCTGGGACAGCATGCTAAGCTTCCTTTGAGAAGTCACCTTCCTGAGTTCTCAGTCATTGACTTGAGCATGATTGACCGAGGGCTGGAGTCTGATTGGTGTAAGCCTATCAGGGACCGCATTCCCCTTGCTGCAGAGGAGTTGGTTCAAGAATGGGCAGCGGGCCGGGTGCGGTGGCTCACGCCTGTAATCCCAGCACTTTGGGAGGCCGAGGCAGGCGGATCACCTGAGGTCGGGAGTTCGAGACCAGCCTGAATAACATGGTGAAACCCCGTCTCTACTAAAAATACAAAATTAGCCAGTTGTGGTGGTACATGTCTGTAATGCCAGCTACTCGGGAGGCTGAGGCAGAATTGCTTGAACCCGGGAGGTGGGGGTTACAGTGAGCCCAGATTGTACCATTGCCCTCCAGCCTCGGCAACAAGAGTGAAACTTCACCTCAAAAAAAAAAAAAAAAAAAAAAAAAGGGCAGCGACCTAAGCATTCTCATCAGGGTGACTCTGTCTGGGAATTTTAAGCCACAGACCCTCTCTTCTCCATTGGTTACAAGCAAGGAAGTGTGTAGTCCCAGACACTCTTGACAGGCTTCTTGGGGCTTTGAGAGGACAGCATGACGGAGTATGGGGCCAATATAAGAGAGCACAGCCAAGAACTGGGGAGACAGAAACGGACCTGTGCACCAATTTGAGACCTAGACAGATATTCGCCTGGAGCCATATCTATTCCTGAGCTGCTCAATTAAATGTACTCAGAAATACACATTTATGAGTCTTTTGGTTTGTTTTTACTTTTGTTTTTGTTTTGCTTAAATCAGTTGGGTTGGGGTTCTGTTATCTGCAACTAAATGCATCCTAATAGATTGCCTCCCTTTGAGCTCCTTTTACTTCTTTTGCGCTAATGCCCCCTAGTCACCGTTGGTCCCTCCCTCTCCCCTTTCCTCAATTTAAGAACAAATACACAAACCACTGCATATAAAACAGAATAAGATGGGTTGCAGGGTTATTTGGATTCATGACTTGTTGAGATTCCATGCCCAAAGAATATTGATTAATGGATCAATGTCAATCTGGAGGGAAGTCCTGTCCTGTTCAACATTTTAATCAATGACTTGGATGAAATAGGAGACATGCTTAGTAAGTCTCAGATGACACGAGGCTGGAGGAATTGCTAATACAACAGATGGCAGAATCAAGATTCAAAATTATTTTGACTGACTTGAACAGTAATAAGGATAAATATAAACTCTTGCGTCTAGGTTCAATAAATCAATTGTGTAAGCAGGGTTTGGAAAGGCCCAGCGTGGCAGTTGTCATAACTACTTAGAACTTGAAGTTGACCATAAGCTCATGTTGAGCCTAAAGTTAAGACAATTAATTAGTAACACAGTGAATGCAGTTTTCAAATATTAAAAAACTGCTGTGAAGAAAAGACACTGACTTTGCCTTTACTTCCCCAGTAGAAGAAAAAAGTAGAATTTCCTGGGAAGTGGTTTTCAGTTCATTGTGTGAAACATTTTTTAATGGTTCCAGTAACAGAACAGACTACCTTCCAAAACTGTGAATGTAATAGCAATTATATCAGAATGTAATAGCAATCATATCAGAATGTAATAGAAAGGATTCCATTGTGGTGGTCTTCCTTTTAAAGCGCAGGTTTAAAAAATGAATCTCTTTAACAACTCACGAGCCAAAGTTATACACACGCAAGCATCCAGAGGAAAAAACGAGGTGATAAAGTAGTCTTGCCCAGCGCCCTCATTATATCTGCTACAAGAGATCAAGAGGGGCCTCATCTAGAAGAAATGCCCAGAATCTGGCCTGGGCGCTGACAGGCCCCATCTTCCCTTATTCCATTTGTGAGCCTCCTCCTCAGCTTCCAGTCTTCAGTCCAGCTTCAGCTTGGCCTGTCCTTTTGTCCACTCCTGCCTTCCAGGTTAGCTCTCTCTTCTGGCTCACACCTGCCTCCCTCTGTTTGGCAGCTCCAAGTCAGACATTGGGAAGCCATAACTCCTTCCCGAACCCTGCCCTTTGGGCCTGACTCCTTCCTGAGCTTCCACAGCTTCCTCCAGCCAGGCCTGGCTTCGTGGACTACCCCAGACAGCGAAGGTGCACACACAATTTGTCTTTTTGTTGTGACTGTTGTTCTCAACATTCCATTTCACTTGCTAACCCGGAGAGCTGGAGAAGCCAAACAATGACCTTATTTCATCTTATAAGCTTAGAATGTGATGTTAGCAAGTTATTAAAAATAAGTTCCACTTCCACAAACACAAAATCAATTGTCCTACAGATATCCCATGGGTAACTGGACCCAACTTGTACTCACGTGTTTCTCCTTAAAAAGGTCCACCTCTCTCAGAAGCTTCTCTTGGCAGTCAGGGTTGGTGGCCAGTAGGTAGGTGGCAAAAGAAAGTGTATTGGTGACGATTTCATAGCCAGCGATGAGGAAGATGAAGGCCTGGCCCACAATCTCATCCACAGTCAAAGGCCTGGCCATGGGCCTGGCCTGGTGTTGCCGGGAAGGGTTCGGCTTGCACCGGGTAGAGGAGAAGACATCTCTGACCATGTCAAAGTCTTGCACGCCCACGGGACTTGCAGAATGTCGGGCATCCAGGACCATTTGGAGGAAGTCCCTGCGCCTCTAAGGGACAAAAGGAGGAAAATGCACATTTTGACCTTACAGTCATGCAAAGTGAAGCTTCCTGGAGAACAAAAGAGGAAGATACATGGGCGTAGCTTTTGAAGAGCTCAGTAGGAACAAGGTTCCTCATTGCTGGGTTATCTGGGACAGTGAGAACCTGGAAGCCACCTGAATGTCCCTTAGTATAGCACCGGTCAGGCAGGTTCTGGGGCACTGAAGAGCAGCCTGGGCTGCTGCCCTGAGCACTGCAGAGGCCATTCTATCTGGGCTAATTTGAAAGTCATTGAACCACTTTGGTAAGTAAAACAAAGCAGGTCATGGAACAGTATGCACAGTGGCTCTCGTTTCTGCAAAAACAGCAAATGTACTAAATATATCATCACCTATATCTGTCTATGCATAGACAGTTGTAGCAATGTCCCCACCCAACAGTTCACAATGAGCTGGAGGAGGCGGGGAAACCAGGAGGGGGCTTGTATTTTTCACTTCATGCATTTTTGTACTGTTGGTTGGTGGTTGGTTTTCCAATAATAAAACAATGAAAACACCACATAGATTTAAAACCAAGCATGTGCTGTACTGCTCGCTTATGTGCAGCTTAGAACTTAGATGGGCAGCCACCAGTTTTGCTCACACAGTAGAAAGTTAACAGAAGTGGGGGCAAGGGGAGGGGACTAGTTTGGCGGTGCCTGTCTTCAAGGTCTCCAGGCTTTGCCTTCTTCATCCCCTCGCCTTCATATCAGATCTTCACATCGGCTCCCTCTTTTTCTCAGTAATCCCCTACACCCATTTAAGTAGTTAGACCTTTCTTTCCATTTTCCCTACCTCCTTTATCAGTCATTTGCATATTCTTCATATTTTCACTATTACTCATTGTAACAATAGGAGTGTTTCTATATTGCCTCTGTGTTAACAGAGCCTATTCCTAGAACATCCCTTCTTTGAAATTCTCTTTAACGTCATGAAAGACAGCCAACACATTTCCGTTTTCTGAAGTTTATGGGACTAAAATGGCAAAAGGAGAGCATCAGAATCACCAACAGAAAAATATTAGAATTTCATTCAAAGTACTGTGCTAGTTGCAGCATTTTCTCAATTCATTGGCCTCTGAATTTCGATTGCATTAATAATCTATGCCACACACATGAGTGTCTGATTCCATCTCTTTTTTTTTTTTTTTTTTGAGTCTTGCTCTGTTGCCCAGCCTGGAGTGCAATGATATGATCTTGGCTCACTGCAACCTCTCTGCCTCCCAGGTTCAAGTGATCTTCCTGCCTCAGCCTCCCGAGTAGCTGGGATTACAGGCGTGCACCACCACGCTCGGCTAATTTTTGTATTTTTAGTAGAGGAGGGGTTTCACCATGTTGGTCAGGCTGGTCTCGAACTCCTGACCTCAGGTGATCTGCCCGCCTTGGCCTCCTGATGATTCCATCTTTTAAGATTGTTGTTGTTTCATGTGTGTTTGCTTTTTCTCCTCCATAAGATTATAAGCAATTCCAGGGCAGGTCCCCACCCTCAACCCCTGACACCATGCCTAGTTTTGTGCTGAGCACATGTTAGATGTGCAGTCCATGACTCGACAGATAAAAACGTAATGCAGTGCACGCATTTGGAGGATGGGTGTGTTGAGTTTGATGACAAGTGCATGCTCTTTAGAGTGGGGATCTTGGATGCTGACACTTTTGCAGCTCCACTGCACCCCAGCCTTATGACTTTGGAAGGTGCCTACTGGGATCCTAGCAGTGCTCAAGGTTAAGACTACAGGCGCCACAGACCTTGAGTCTAAGGAAGCAAAGCCTCAGCTTCCCATCAGCTTGCTGGGTTGTAGTAGCTAAGAAAATGGTGAAGGGTCAGGGGTAGTTGGTGGCTTCATTCCACCCTGGCTCTGCTCGTTCTGATTTTCAAACGCCATCCTCAAGGGCTGACTTTCTCCAGCTTCCTTTCTGCTGCTTGGTCAATGTCTGGGTGCTGGTGTGGTCCCACTACTGGCCCTGCTTCTATGGAGCAGAGCTGGGGCAGTGTCAGGTAAGATGGCACGCAGGGGAAGTGAGCATCCTCTGCTGCCTCAGCTCTGGGACACCAGCACAGGACCCCAGAACACCCCCAGACCTCTCAGTCAGTCCCTCTGAAACTCCTCGGGGTGTGATACCATTGTGGTCCCCGAGGCTTGGCTGTGGCTTTGCTGAGGTGGTGTAGGAGTAATGATGGTAGGGAGGGCACAGCCACCTCTGCACTGGGTATTTTTCCACGGGCAAAACTGCAGCCAGCATCCTTTCCTCTTATCCCAGCCCAGACAGGCTGCTAAAGGGCTGTCAGAGTCTTGCAGAAATCTGTCTTAACCTCCAGCTACAGAGGCCAGAGGAAAGGCCACTCTCTAAGGCCCGTGCGCTGGAGAGGAACATTAGTATAGATGGGTTTCTTTTATTCACACTGCATCAGGGAGGCTATCTGAACACTGCCCACTGAGGACTGAAACGGTGCTGGTTTATGGTCCTATCCAAGGAAAATACGCACCCTGATAGATGTAGGTGTCTAATCCGCCCATCGGCTAGAGCTTAGAAAAATATTTACCTTTTAACATCTGTGCCGCATTTTCACTGCGCAAACACACATCTGCTTGATGGAATGTATACAGACTTTAGATGGTTTTAAAGCAAGTTTTCTTAGTAACTGTATAGCTCTGTCTTGACATGGCTGTCCTGGATTTGTGGTTGGGAGGCTTTTCTCAGATCAGCTCATTGTTTGAAACAAATGGCACTAGAGTTTATAAAAGGAAAAGCTCTAGGCAATCCCAGTAATTGGATCTTTAATAACCTCTCACCTCTTAGTAAGTCATTCGGTGCAACAGTTTTAAATTTTTTAGCCTGATTCCACAGCCAGGCTAGGGATGCGTGTGTGTGTGTGTGTGTGTGTGTGTAACACTCTCAAAAGGTGGCCCTTCGTAGCGATGTTAAAGGTTGAAAATGGTTATTTCTTTATCCCTCCTCCCCCGGCTCCATCCTCATTCTGTGGAGACACATGAACCTGGATCAGAATGTTCTGTCCTTTTGGGCCTCAGAGCTGGGCCAGGGATGCCAGTTAAGCTGCTTCTTCCCACACCTCCAAGGACATGCGAGTTGAGTTCACAGTGGTGTGGGCCGAGGGGGCTGCAAGCTTGCCTATACCTTCCCATGCCTTCTGGATCTAGACACGTTTGCTGCACAGTTCTCAGGGTGTGAAGCTGCACAGGACACGGTTGCTGCCCAAGGCTGCCCAGTGTATCAAGCCACTAATTGACCCGTGATTTCATTCCAGGCCAATGCCTTCACAACTGGACCTCACCAATTCCTCTGAGCCATCCAGTCTTTGAGACAACCCTTTTCAAGTTGCATCTTGCACGAGTCAGCTAAGGAAAAGCCATTTCAGCCCTGTTTTTCCTTTTTAGTAACTTTCTTTAATGCAACAAGGGCTTTAAAGCCCAGATTTACGCATGCATACGCGTATCCAGTATTGAAATGCCTTTCTTCCCACTGAAAACTCCTCTTTCTATTTTAACCAAGTTCAATCAACAAATATTTACTTGATTCCTACTATGTGCCATGCATAGTGTAAATCTGCAAGGAGGAAAGAAAATGCTAGGTCTCACACGAATCGTGTGGGGTTGACTGACAGTTGCCGAACTCTCTAATAAGCATGCTGTTCATGCTGGAACATGAAAACCCATCTTGCTGGGTTTTCAATATAAAGAATGTGCTCATGAAAATTGCATGTGGGCACATTTACCCAGAAAATTCTTCTGGGCTGCTCTAACCTGTGCTTAGGGTGATGCTTGCATTAGAGGGAGAGTTTTGGGGGCGGCTTTAATTCTACCCGTCCGTGTCAAAGGACGTACACATTGCTCTAGGCTCCTCTCTGCCGTCCCACCCTCCCTTTCTTGTCTGACCTTCCTCAACCTTCCTCTGTTCTCTCCACTGTCCCTGGAAGTTGTAAGTGGTGGATTGCTGAAGGACAGCACGGTGTGATGTGTGGGGCTGGGAGGGAAGGGAAAGAACCGAGACAGTGATACCAAAGTCAACTCCATTCCATTTCAAGGCTGTGTCCTATTAAAATACGTTACCTCTTCGGCAGCTTGCTGGTCCCGCAAGGCAATCACATTCCTAATGAGTTTGTTAAAAAAGCCGTTCAGTTCATCTCGGTTCTTATTGGGCAAAATCCGGGCCAGTGGGACCATTATGGATGGAAATGATACTTGAAAGAGAAAAACAAAAGTGGCATTGAAAAGGGGGTGATAATAAACCAGGGCCATTAGATGCCTGTTCCTGGGAAGAGAAAGCGGGCCTGGAATCGGAGCTGTTTTTGAGTCCTGCCCTCCCCGCCGCACTGCTGCTTCTGAGAGCAGGGCGATGTCTCACTCCCTCTCGGTACTCCTCACCATTCCTGGCACATAGTAAGCACTCAATAAACATCTGTGCAATTAATCGAGTCTGCACTTCCATCTGGCCCTCAAGAGGTCAAGCTCGCCCTTACAAATTAATGTTTCAGGTCCTGGGGATGGAGCTTAAGGTCTTCGTACTTCATCAAGAGAGAAAGGATTACAGGCTGTTTCAAGCCTTAGCAAGTGGTAGAAGCTGATTTACTTTTTATAAACTTTCTGGTCATTTGAATTTTTTTTCTTGTGGATAATTGTCCCCAGAACGACCTCCTGAATTGTTCCCAAAAGCTGCCACTGCATCTGCTGACAAGGATACTGGCTGTTGCTGCGGTGGGTCCCTCCCTTGCTGGCCCCTGGGTGCAGCATGGGCCCCCTTGCTGCCATGTGCTGGGGACTGGGATGCCAGGGTCAGGGACGCTTCATCTGCCCTGGAGAGGGGCACTGGCTGGGTTCAGCTTCTCAGTTTCCATGGTGGATTCACCCTGCACCGGGCTCTATGGGGGCTGGGCTGGGGAGAACATCTCCAGACACACATGCTCTCAGAATGCACGGGCCCGTTTTCAAGAGCCAGAGTCCAAACCAATGCGACACAGCAGCAGGAAACCCTGCAGAGGCAGAGAGGAGGAATAGAAAGGATGGCACAACTGAGCCACCTGCCCCACGGGCGTGGGCCATGGTTGAGGCACAAGGGGCAGATGCAGCCTGTGCTGCCTCCAGGAGCGGTGGAAAGGGTGAAGGAAGAGACTGCTGGACACTCAGAGTGACTCTGCCCACGATTTCAGGGTGGAGCCAGTGGGGCAACAGGGGCTCCAGTGGACATTGGCTCAGAAATAGGAATGAAACTGGTCAAGGAATGAATGGAATTTACCAGCCCAGTAGAATAGTTAGAAATCATGGCAATAATCAATACCAATCATAACACGTCAATGCTCCTATAAAGGCAAGAAGACGCTAGAATTGGCCAGAGGGCAAAAATCTCACTTCTACAATAAAAATAAAATAAGGCCCAATGCGATGGCTCACGCTTGTAATCCCAGCACTTTGGGAGGCCGAGGTGGACGGATCACCTGAGGTCGGGAGTTTGAGACCAGCCTGACCAACATAGAGAAACCCTGTCTCTACTAAAAATATAAAATTAGCTGGTCGTGATGCTGCATGCCTGTAATCCTAGCTACTCAGGAGGCTGAGGCGGGAGAATCGCTTGAACCCAGGAGGTGGAGGTTGCGGTGAGCCAAGATCGTGCCACTGCACTCCAGCCTGGGTAACAAGAGCGAAACTCCATCTAAAAAAAAAAAAGTAGTAAAAAATAAAATAAAATAAATAGACCAGTCCCCGTGCATTGGGTAACCTACTCTTCATCCACCACGCAGGATTTCTGTGTATTGGGCTTCAAGTGGAGAAGTCTTGTGAAGAGGATTTTGCTGGAGGAAAGAAAGATGCCCTAGGAAATGAAAGGCTTTGGGTTCCAGTCTCAGTTCGGCCTTTCTAGGCCTGTTTCTCACCTGAGAAATAGGGACAAGAAGATTTTTCTCATAGGGTGATTACTAGGACTAAGTGAGGCAACGCACACCCAGTGCCTAACACGGTGCGTCCCCACTCTTCTCACCATGGCGGTGGACCACTTACCACCAATGCCAGGGCTACAGCATTGGGAATAAGTGCCTCTAGGCGGGTGGCAAGAGGAACCCGGTGGCTCCCTAAGACAAAGCCTCTGCAGGGGAACACCCTGAGTGCCCTTTCCCAGTGGCAGGGACAGAGCCCCAAAAGCTGCCCCAGCTGTCACAGGGTCTGCCCGACTTGCTGGAGTCATCGCAGCGTCCTGGGCTGCAGCTGCACTTACGGAGTAAAACCAGGATAGGTCTGGGGATGCAGAATTCGAAGAAACGCTTGCAGTGTTTCACAAAGGGATCCTCAGGGGCCTGCTGGGAGTCCACCGGGGTGCCGAAGGCGACGCTGGCAACCACATCTGTGGTGTAATTGCAGTAGCACCTACGGGAGATGGGAACACGGGGATTTGAAAGGACTCTGGCAGGGGCTACCCGCAATGCCCCACTCCAGAGGAGGAGGGCCTGAATTGCCTACACTGGCTCGCCCAGCCCTGCAGATGTGCCCGGAAGGAAGAGGAGCTTCTGCAGATCTGTGGTGAGGTGGAGGGAGAGGGGCTCCTGGATGGGGCACTCTGAGCAGTGACAGCAGAGCGCGGGAGGAGACAGGAAGACCTGGCAGCCAGCTCATCTAAACAAAGCCCTGGGAGGGGAGGAGGACACCGCCTCTTCCACCTTCGAGCTTCAGGCAGCCGCGGTCAACCGGAACACAGCCAAGTACTAAGAAAGACACTTTACATTTTCCTCCCTAGGAAGGAGAGCAGACAGGTGACCGAAAGCCTACATGCTGTACTCAAAGCTCTGCACAGCCCAGCTCAGGCCAGAATCTAATGATTAATTGATAGACATCAAATTGTCATTGATGAATTAACAACCTAATTATCTAGCTTTATTAACTTTGTGTCCCTCTTCCTCTTAATGATTTTACAGTTTTCTTAATAGCAACAAACAGAAAGCAAGGGCTCTTAGCACTCAAATAAATACAAGGCCAACTTTATGGCAGGCTTCATGAACATCTGTATATTATTACATAAAACATACATTGCACTTTAGAAACAAACAGAAGGAAAAGTGTCTGGCAGGAGCTCCAGAAAATTTAACCTCTTAGGCTATGGGAAAGCTGCCCCCTCAAAAGGCCATTTTAAACTCGAACGATTCCTTTTTGCTCTCTTATAGGAGTAGTCAGATTAAGTTCTTTCCCAAAAAGCTAAAAACTGGGTTATTAATATCTTTTTACAATTAAAAGGCCAATTTTTGTTCTCAGTGTAGGCACACACTTAACTCTTCTTGTACATAAGTTCTATAACCACTAACTTATCATTAAGGAATACATGACATTTCCAAATGACTTTTAAAATTTGCACTGCTTTTATTGAAAACATTTCTACAATTGATTATACGTTTCCCTGCTAGAGTGAAAACAAGAATGAGACTGCTGAATGTGATTTCATCTGATCCTGATGGGTGAAGATTTAAGGGTCTTAAGGGTTATTTGCTTTGCTTTTATAGCTGACGAGGCCACCTTATCTTTAGCCAACTCATGCATCCTATAATAATCAGAGAGAATATGGACGAAAAGACCGTGTAAACTGGTGCAATACCAGTGTTGGTGATGATTATGTTATTATTTGATTAGCAATGATAATAATGAGTCAATTTCTGGATGAGTCACCATCCCACTTTATTCTTTATCTGCTGTAAGCCATGATTTGGCATAAAATGACTAAAGCAAAGGTGGCCAAATCTTTTGGCTTGCCTGGGCCACATTGGAAGAAGGAGAACTGTCTTGGGCCACACATAAAATACCGTAACACTAACGATAGCTGATGAGAAAAAACAACTGCAAAAAAATCTCACAATGTTTAAGAAAGTTTATAAATTTGTGTTGGGCCACATTCAGTGCCATCCTGGGCTGCTTGTGGTCCGTGGGCTGTGGGTTGGACAAACTTAGACTAAAGGTGTTTATTTAAAATAAAAACCTTTTAGTGACAAAATGATGAAAAGCCAGATAATCAGTTATTTAAATTTGGTGTCCACCACTAAGTCATGGCTTCTGGGCTGAGGTGCATCACAGTTTTTCTTGAAGTGAAAATGCTTGAACTTCCCCCGCCTCTGTCCCTGTCCTTTGGCTCAGGCCTGTCCTGCCTGTTCCTGGGTCTGTGGAGGTCAGAGGGTGAATCCATCCACAGGTTCAACAGGATGCACGTCCCCTGGCTCTGCTCACATTTCTTTCCCATGTTAAGTGGGTTTCTTTTCTGTTTATTAATCAGTCCATCCATGCTTTTATGAGCTTCTAGCGTTTCCACAGTTTGCTAGTCCCAAGGTAATTGTCCAGCAATTATGGACAGTTACAAGAAGCAGTGATTCAAAGACTCGATTTCTCATCTGTAATGCAGCAGCCTTACCTCTGGATGTCAAATGCGTCCCCAGATTCTGCATAGCGTTTTAAATGAGCCAGGAGAAGGTCGCAGGCTTGGCTGATGAGGGGAGTCATCTGATAATGGATAACAAAGGTGTAATTAGGGCACCATGCCGGGAGTACACCTAAATTGGCTGCAGATGAAGAGGTTATATGTGGTGCTTTCTGGGAAAATGAACACTGTTTGGAAGATATTTTTCACACAGCTAAGATTCAAGAGGAAGATCCTAAAATTTGCAAATATTCATGAAATACAATAGCTCTAAATGTCTATTTTAGCTTAAGCATTTTTTATCTTTGGAAGCAAAAAAGAAGAACAGATTTACAGTGAATACGGTGAAATAATTTTGAAAATGATTATTAAGTGCTTAGACAAAACTGAGAATCAGTGCTCAGTTTCATGACATTGGGTTCGCATTATCGAGCAAAGAAAGCCTAATCCATATGCACTATCCCTGGAATTACCTGAGTTTACGCTTGTGTGTTCCAATTGTATTTTAGATCTTTCACTAGAATACTGAATCTTAGTATCCAAAGGAACCTAAGGTCATCCATTTCAACTTCTTATTTAACACAGAAATTATTTATAGAGCATTCCTGATGGACGGTTATTCATTTGTGCTTAAGCCACTAAGCTTTCGAATACTGGGAAAACCTTGACTTCAAGATGCATCCTATGCCCATACAGGGCAATTGTTAGGTTTCTTTTTTTTAATAGGAAAATGCTTTTATGTTAGGAAATTCCTAACCTACACAGAAAGGTGGAATGGCATAATGAAGATTCACATAGATACCACTCAGCTTCAACAAACGGGTGGGTGGAATTCTTTGTGGAGCCTGCTGGCCACCCCTGTGACCTTTTATTCTCTCTTGCATGATTAAAAGGCCAAGCTGAAAATACCAAGCAGCATCATTTTATTTGGTGCCCATTGTAGAATAGCATCACAGCTAAAGCAACGTGCTCTAATATATCGTTCTGAGCATTTCTCACGAAAGACATAAAATGTAATCTATGTTTAGATTTGATAATTTTGACACGAGGTCAGGGAGATTTTAGTCTGTTTCTTCATTTTTATAATCCTAGCACCTAGAACAGCGCCTGGCACATAGTAATTATTTGTTAAGTGAATGAACGAATCATTGAATCATACTGATTATGTAATACCCACTCCTTCGTCTTAAAGTCTTGAGGCACTGGGAAAAGTTATAAAGTTAATCTGCTTGTCAGAAGGTATGTTTTTGTACTGAGGGAAAATCTGACTTCGTCTAACAATCTTTTGCTGGTTTCATTTCTGTTCTCTTCTTCGTGACAGTGCTCTCAACGCTCAGACAGCAGGTACCTGTCTTATCTGCTCCCCATCTTCTCCTAGACAACTGTTCCCATCCTTTCTTTCTTTTCTCTCTTTCTCTTTCTTTCTTTCCTTCCTTCCTTCCTTCCTTCCTTCCTTCCTTCCTTCCTTCCTTCCTTCCTTCTTTCCTTCCTTCCTTCCTTCCTTCTTTCTTTCTTTCTATTTTTTTTTCTTCAGACAGACTCTTGCTCCACTGCCCAAGCTGGAGAGCAGCGGCATAATCCTGGCTCACTGCAACCTCTGCCTCCTGAGTTCAAACGATTCTCCTGCTTCAGCCTCCCAAGTAACTGGGATTACAGGTGTGTGCCACCACGCCTGGCTAATTGTATTTTTTTTTTTTTTTTTTTTAGTAGAGATGGGATTTCACCATGTTGGTCAGGCTGATCTCGACCTCCTGACCTTGTGATCCGCCCACTAAAGCCTCCCAAAGTGCTGGGATTACAGGCGTGAGCCACTGTGCCTGGCTGTCCCCATCCTTTCAATGGGGGGCTGAACCATATGGCTTGCACACACCTCTCCTGCCTTATTGCTCTCATCTTTATCAGGGTCACTCCTAAAGGTGGCCTCATAAGTGGAACACAGTATTTCAAGTGTGGACTGGTGTATGGTAAATGAATCACTGCCTGAGATCTGTACCCTACACGTCAATTGCAAAGCCAGGTTTATGTTGACTTTTTTAGAAGACAAACAATGCAGGCAAATATTGAGTTTCAGGTTAATGAAAACCACAAGGTCTTTTTCCATGGATGATAACCATGTACAATTGCTACTTCGATTTTTTAGGGCCCATTCATTAGAAAGGCATTAGTTGTCCTGCCTTGTGTTCTCAGCAGAACGATCTCTTAACTTCTCCAGAATATTCAGGTGCTTGGAGATACCTCGCAGAGTGGGACAGCTGGGTGGCTGTTGACGGGATGTTGGGAGGACATGCAATTTTATAGGACCCCTCTCCTCTGCAGTTCCCTCCAAGTCAGTCCCACAGGCTCTGGGTGTAAGGAAAGAATTGTGTCACCAGGGGCCCAACTCTTCTGTTGAAGGAGTGGGTCCTGTAGATGGCGGGTGAGGGGGTCCTGTAGGTCGGAGCTGCAATGGCTGCATGAAGGCTGCCACATGGAGGCGGTAACCAAGGCAGGGGCAATGAATGGCCTGGACAGTGCTACGGGCGGCTGAACAACAGCTCAAGGAGCAGAACATTCAGAGCATAACACACCCAAGTGGAGAGACGGCAGAGCATCTGAGACGCATGAGTCCCCTGTTGCCAAGGCTCATGGAGGGAGGGCCATCTTGGGAAAATGGATTTGCTGTTCATAAAGCCACAGGGCTTGGAGCACCGGGGTGTTTGAACACTATTGGGGAGCAAAAGATGTGTTCAATCATTAAAATCCCATTACCTGGCCAGGCGTGGTGGCTCATGTCTGTAATCTCAGCACTTTCGGAGGCCAAGGCAGGTGGGTCACTTGAATTCAGGAGTTTGAAACCAGCCTGGCCAACAGAGTGAAACTCCTCTCTACTAAAAATATAAAAATTAGCTGGGTGTGGTGGCAGGTGCCTGTAATCCCAGCTACTCGGAGAATCGCTTGAACCCGGGAGGTAGAGGTTGCAGTGAGCCAAGATTGCATCACTACATTCTAGCCTGGGTGACAGAGAAAGACTCCGTCTCAAAAAAAAAAAAAAAAAAGAAAGAAAAGAAAAGAAAAGAAAAAAAAAAATCCCATCACCTGTAACACTGGCTATTCTTTCTTCGTTCTATCTGAAATTTAGTAAGTGTGCCTTCTAAGCCTTCCTTCAGTTGGTCAGTCTGTAGACGGGCCCCGGTGCAGACCCTTGTGGCCCTCCACTGGACAGCTATTATAGGTAGCCACAGAATCATTCATCATCACTGTTTTTGGCTCTTGGGCTACCTGTGCATGCACCTAAGTAAATACTCAGCCAGGCACCACTTTACTGATGAGTCAGCTGGGGAAGACTTTGTCAAATGATTTGCAGAAACAGAAATGTGATTTACCTCATCTACCTACCTAGAGGTCCACTCAAAAGAGAAAAATAAGTATGACTATCCTGATTTATTCTTAGTATCTTTGTGTTGATACTTTATGACTACTGCATGCTTTTCTAAATTCGCACAAACCATCGATTTAATAATCCATCAGTACAAAAGGGTGTGTAAATGGGTCACTTAAAATGGCCTCTGGGCTCCAACTTCCAAGAAGTCTCAGTCCACCCTTAATGTTGGAGAAGTCAGTACAGTCTAAGCCACATTTTTATGACTAGCTTTACTGGTTATCTTCCTTCAATTATCTTAATAAGTTTAGTGGTACAAGTGAACCCTAGTTTAATAAAATCCTATAAACATAAATACCTTTTAGATTTATTTCAGAGGAATAGTAACATGGTAAAAAAAAAACATATATATATATATATATATATATATATGTACTGTTTGACAGGAAGTCTTTTTAGATATCAAGCTTGAAGTTTTCTTAACATAACCAAAGAGAGGGAACATAAAATGTGATTTACACACAACTCTTCAGAGGCAAGCCCTGTGTATAAAGAGGGGGCCACCCATTCTGAATCCAAACATATTCCTGGACAGTGCGAAAGGGAGCCCAGGCCAGCTGCCCACCATCGGGTCTTCTACATGCCTTTGATTAGAATCCTTTGTTGCTGCCTGACGTGACTGTAATTTTCTGCTATGCTCTGCCTGCTGTCTGTCGAACTGAATAGATAATGACATTTTTATTTGGGTTAATGTGATATGAGATGGGGCATGTAATATGAAAAATGTTTTAAAAAGCAATGCAGAGAAAATATTATAAGACAGCGGAGCATAATCTGTATGTTGGCCAATAGCCATTATTTCAGGTTTTCTTCCTTGCATTTTACACAGCAGTTACGGAATATTTACTTTTACATGAGTTGCATACAAACAAAAGCTCTCTTTGATGGGCTTGCATAATCTTTATACAATCCACAAACCCTGCAGTTCTTCTCCTAGATTTTTGAACAAGCAGGCAAACGTGGCATGTGCACACACACATGCACAGATGAATACACAATGCTATTATCACTCAGATCTTACTAAAAGACTCATTTGGTTGTTACATTTCATCTTCTTCATGGGATAATGAGTGATTTTTATTTTTTGTTTTATTCCAAATTTTTCACAATGCACATGCATTACCCTTATAATCAGATAAAATATTAATGTTATCAGGTTTTTAAAAAGGGATTTATTAATGTTTCAGTCACCTCAAAATTCATCCATTGAAGACCCAACTCCCAGTGTAGCTGTATTTGGAGTTAGGGCTTCTAAGGAAGCAATTAAGGTTAAATAAAGTCACAAGGATGGGGCCCTGATCCAATAAGATTGGTGTCCTTATAAGAAGAGACACCAGAGCACTCATGCTTGTTCTCTCTCCCTCTCTCTCTGTCTCTCTCATGCACAAAGAACAGGTCTTGTAAGCACACAGCAAGCTGGCGGCTACCTACAAACCAGAAAGAGAGGCCTCACTGGAAACCAACAATGCTGGCACCCAGCCTCCAAAATTGTGAGAAAATACATGTCTGGACTGGGCACAGTTGCATACACCTGTAATCCCAGAACTTTGAGAGGACAAGGCAGGTAGATCACTTGATGTCAGGAGTTCAAGACTAGCCTGGCCAACATGGTGAAACCTCATCTCTACTAAAAATACAAAAATTAGCCAGACATGGTGGCACGTG